TTCAGGCAGGGCCCAGCATAAATGGGGCTGCACCCTGGGAGCCGGAAGGCAGAGGCAGAGGCAGACCCAGCAGGGACGGCCCAGGCAGTAGATGAGGGTCCCAGGGTCCACCCAATCTCCGGCCACTCTTTGGCACAGGCTGAGCGGTGCAGCAGCCTCAGTCTGGCCCTGACAAGCACTGAGCAGGGACAGCGGTGGGCCCCCGATAGAGTGGCTGCTGCCAGGGTGCAGGGGCAGGCACAATTCTCACTCAGAGGTCTGCAGTGGCGAGCACAGTGCTGGGGGTGGGGGGCCCTGGCCCAGCCCAGCAGCCTCAGTCCGGCCCGACCTGAGCTGGGCTCCAAGGAGCCTTGAGTTTGGCAGTGGCTCCCCTGCCGGTTTCCTGGCTCTCCCAGGCCAGGGCTGGCTGCCCCAGAGCAGAGCCTGGGCGCCTGGTCCAGGGTGGGGTCGTAGGGACGCTCCGGTCGCTGTGCACATTCGTACAAAGACATAAATACAGAAGCGCAAGGGGCACGCCTTTGCCCCAGAGACAGCCCAGGCCTCTCCAGACTCAGCCAGGCCCCGGTGGGGGGGGCTGGGGGGGGTGCGGTTGAAAGGCAGAGGACCCTGGCGCTGGCTCAGGCTGTGTCCCCCTTGGCCACCACTCGAGTGGCCACTTGGGGAAGACCAAGGTGTAAAACTGTAAACAGCATTCGGAGTAGCTGCTACCGCCAACTGCCGAAGGGGGTCTCCGGGTGGGGGCTAGAGGTGGGTGGGGAACTCGAGGCGGGCGGGGAGCTCTTCCTCACTGTCGCTGCAGTTCCCGCAGCAATCCTGAGGGGGTTGGGAGACAAGGGAGAGAGGCAGAGCACGCGCCATTAGCCACCAGACACCAGAAGCCCCGCCCACCCAGGCAGGGTCACAGCTCCGGGCTGCAGGCAGCAGGCAGGTGCTAGATAGGTCCCCGCCCTGCCGGGGCAAGGCCTCTATTCCAGCCCCTTTCCCTGGGGTGGAGAAGGTGGGGCGGGGCAAACAGGATGGCTAAGCAAGGCTAGCAGCCTCAAGGTGCCAGGGCGTAGGAGACAGAGTGGGAGGAGCGGGGGAGCTGGCACCAGACTTCTTTCACCCACATCTGGCCACATCTGCCATGGAAGGGCTGCCCGTGGCTCCCCGAGGCCAACCCACGGGGAGCCCACACTGCTCACCTCTGGAAAGAGAAAAGAGGCCGTGAGCCCAGCCAGGGCCGAGGGAAAGGTGGGAGTGAGTGAGGCGGGAGTGCCTGGGCACCGTGGCGGGCACAGCTGGAGGAGGCCCACTCCCAGCGCATGCGGGCACCAGCTCTACCTGCCGCCCACCAACCCTGGGAGCCAGGCTGCTGGGGTACCTGGCGGCTGAAGAGTCTCTGCAGCAGGCCCTTCTTGGGGGGTGCAGGCGGCTGGCCCTTCCAGTCCAGGTCTGGGGGCACTGCGCCATCCAGCCCGAAGACATTCAACTCCTGGAAGCACTCGGTCTCCACCATCTGCCAGTAAGAGGCTGGTTGGTGGAGCTGCCCCCGGCGGGGTGGGGGTGGATGGGTAGGGGAGCATCTCTCATGAGCCCCCCCCCTGTCCCCAGCCCACGGGGCAGGCCCCACCTCGTTCTGCCAAGGGATGGGAACGCTGCCCGTGGCAAACTTCTGGTAGAAGTCTTGGTCTGTGGGCTCCAGTTCCACCCCCTTGACTGTGGAGAACTGCTCGATGTCCAGGACGTCCTTGCAGTAAATGGCCTGGGGCTGGGGCAACAGAGGCGACAGTCAAGGAGGGACAGCATCCTCCCCAACTGCCATCGTGGCTCCCCCAGCAAAGGGCACAACAGCTCAGTCAGTCTGCGTCTTGGCACCATCCTGCTCTTCTGACCCCGGTGGCAGCAGAGAGCAGCTCTGCGCCAGATCACCCTGCCGCCGCTACAGCTGCCCAACACTGCACAGAGGGCAGCCCCAAAGGCCTTGTTCAGGGGGAGCTGCGGGGTTGTGCCCCAATCAGTGAAGGTGCCCCGCCACGTGCAGGTGGCTGTGCAGAAGCTCAGCTGGCGGCATGTGCTCCTCAGGCTCTCTGTGCAGGGGCAGCGCAGACTGGGGCCCATGCGCATCTCCAGCAGTTCACACCAGCCTTTTCTTCCGCTTCACAGCCCACCAGAGGATGAGTCCGATCCTCCCACCTCCTCATCCCGGCCCCCTCAGTGGCGGAAGGCTTTCGTCATCCCACTGTGACATGTGTCAGTCAGTACAATGCCACCTTGTATGATGGTGTTGACGCTTCGGCAAACGGGCTGGTAGTGCCTCAAAAGGCTACGCAGAGAGGTCTCAGATGACCCAGCAGCCAGTGCTGTGCCGCGGGTTCACGCAGCGCAAGGCGCACTGGCTGGGAGGCGCAAAGAGCCCAAATCCGTCCACTGGTTCAGGGACGAGAGGCCCTGGGGGGTGCACATGGCTCCCAGCTTGGCTGCTGACATGAAGGCTAGAGGCTGGAGCCCACCAGAGACCCCTCAATCTATTTCCCCAAATCATTCCGGGAAACCTCTTAGGGGGCTGGTCTCAGGATCATTATCAACAAGTCTGGGTGGCAGCAGGTTCCGTGTTGGATGGACGGACGGATATACTACACACAGTGGTGTGTCCAGGCACTGAGACATCCGCCAGCCATAAGAAGCAAGAACGTGCTGCCCCCGCGCCGACGACATGGACAGGGCTTGGAAGGCCCGTGCGAAGTGAAAGGAGCCAGACGCAAAAGGCCACCAAACCCCCAACCCGGACTCCCTGCTCTCAAGTTGACTTTGAATCCTAGTGACCTGTCGGGCAGAGCAGAACGGCCTCCCTGGGTTTCTGAGGCTAACTCTGGCCAGGTACAGACAGCTTTGTCTTTCTCCCCTGGGGTGACTTGTGGAGGTCAACTGCTGATCTTACAGTTAGCAGCCAACTCCGCCATCAGGGCTCCTACAAGTGACGGCGGGTGGTGGAAGTCCGGCTACGGGACGTATTTGGACAAGGCAAACCTGTGGAGGTGCAGGCGTCGGGAAGAGGGGCAGGGCTGGGGAGCCCAGGGAGCGATGGCTAAAAGGTGCAGGGCTTCTGACTCGGTGATGACCATGCTCTAAACCCGTGGGGGTGTGTTAAATGCCGCTCAAGTGCACACTTTAGACAGAGGGCACGGATTATGTCTCAGTAAGGCTAATAAGAAAAAACCCCCGCGTCCTACTTGCTCGTGATCTGCCGCTTCGCTTCTAAAAAGCTGGCTTCCGGGGGCACTCGTTCTTTCTCCAGCTTCGAACACACGAGGCGGTGGATTTATCGCGAGGTTCAGCAAGACCACAATCCCAGGACCCCCTCCCTCGAAACTATCTTGCCTGTGCTTCACTGGCCACTGGCCGCCTCCTCAACACGGGCCGTCCCACAAGGCTGCTCCTCCTGTCTCTAAGCCTCATATCCCGCACATCCTTCTTCATGGTTCTTAGGCTACTGTGGAACTGTCAAGGCGCCCTGGTGGCACTACGGGTTAGGTGGTAGGCCGCTAACGGGAAGGTCAATGGTTCAAACCCACCAGCTGCCCCACGGAAGAAAGACAAGGCTGTGTCCTCCCATAAAGACTTATGGTTTCAGTCACAAGCAGGAATACGGGGCCCTGGAGGTGTAGTGGGTTGTACACTGCTGCTAATTGGAAGGCCAGCAGTTCGAACCCACCTAGGTATGTTTCAGAAAAAAGATGAGGTTGTTCCTGTAAAGATTTAGTCTCAGAAACCCGAAGGGGCAGTTCTACCCTGCCCTGTAGGGTGGTTAGGACAGTGGGTTTAGTTTACTTTAAGAGTTGGAATTGGCTCGGTAACAGTACGTTTTACTTGGGGGTGGGCTTAACTGTCAGCGCCCCAGAGACCACTGTCTAACAATGCTCCCCACCCCACCTTTTCTGTGTCTTCTGTTAGCTGCCGCCAAGTCCGCACGGCTCCTGGAGACCCCGTGTGCAAGAGTAGAATTGCTCTTTGTGGTCTTCAAAGTTGTGACCTTTCAGAGGGTGATCGCCAGACCTGTCTTCCAAGGCACCTCTGGGTGGGGCTTCTGGCTAGTACCTGAGTGCTTAGCCCTGGGCACCACCCCAGACACCCTCCTGTCTTCTTTTTTTTTTTTTTCACCCTCCTGTCTTCTTCGCAAGCTTTCGTTTTAGTTACACTGACGGACCTGACAGTGTGTCAGCACCAAAGGCTTATTATTTTGGTGTGCCCTCACTAGGACACATGCTCCACGAGGGTGGGTGACACTCGATCCTGTGCCCCTGCTCGTGTCCAAGCCGGGCACGTGTGGGGATCCTATTTGTTGCATGTATAAACAAAGAGGTATATGGTTGACACCCCTCAACCTGGCCTGTCAGTTGCCTGCCAGTGTTTCTGGCGAGCCTCCAGCTATAGAATGAGGCCGTGTTGATGAAGTGGTACGCCTCTCACCCACCACGTTCAATTCCGGGGCAGTGCACCCATCTGTGTTGCTGTGATGTCCAACAGGTTTTAGTAGACCTTCTGAACTAAGAAGGACTAAGGGGAAAGAGGCCTGATGATCTACTTTCAAAAATCCACCAAGGAAAACCCTTTGGCTCTCCAGAGAACATTGTTAGGTCCACACCAGTCATGAGGATAGTGCAGCCACAGGGCCTAGTCCCCTTAGACCTACAGGGGGAGGGGCAAGCACAAGCGCTGACCTTCCCTGTGACTGCTCAGTGAAGCCTGCATGCAGTGGGAGGGACCCAGGTTGAAGCAGAGCCAGCGATGGAGGGAAAGCCTGATGTCCGCCCTACTTTGAGACTTTCTGGCCAAACACACCAGTTAGCTCCATGCTGGGCTGACGGAGGTTTGGGTTGGGTTCCTGCCACTGGTAGCACAATGACTACAGTGTACACATGCTTGCCGGGTGCCTGGCCCACTGTGGGAGCATCCTGCCCAGAGAGAGATGAACAGCATTGTTGGGAGGGGAGACAGTCCGTATTCTGTCAGCGCAACAGCCCTCTACTCTGCTGGCAGTAACACCTTGCCTTTCTTTTGGAGGGGGTTTCTCATGGGCAGCAATCAGGTGAGTGACATGACTCAGATATGGCCAGTGAGGACCAGGAGCCAGCGGCCCGAGCACCAGCCTGGGGACATGGCATTACTGTGGCCCCTGGTGCAGCTGCTTAAGTATTATAACATGAATCCAAAGTTTGCCGGTTCGAACCCAGCCACGAGCACCTTGGAACAAGGTGCTTCTACAAGGTCTGAGCCTCAAAAACCACTAGGCAATGGGCTCTAGGGTGGCTGGGTAACCCCAACAACCCAACTGCCAGCAAGCCGACGCCTGCTAATCCTACCCTGTGTGTCTCACTTCTGGGAGACCCCGGCATTTGTGTGGAGGTTTAGCTGGCCAGTCGAGCTGGGCTTTCCACCACTTGCATGGAACGCGTCGTGTCGGGACCAGTACTCGGAGAGCCTCGCCCGCCCAGCTCGGCCCTGCCCCCATGGCCCAGGCGCCACTCACGTCGGGCTTGAAGGGCGGCTCCAGCATGCCAGCTCCCAGGCGCTTGAAGTTCAGCTTCTTGAAGAGGGGGTGCTCCTTCACTTCCCGGGCGCTGCCCCCACAACAGCCCAGGCGCTCGGCTGGGTCCTTGCAGAGAAGCTGTGGCAGGGCAGTGGCAGTGTGGGGGCTGCACAAGGTAGGTGGGTACCCTGTCCAGCCCTGCCTCCCTGAGCCCTGCCGGCTGGCGTACCTGGGAGCAGAGCGACCGGGCCTGCGAGGAGAAGCGCTCCGAGTACTCCTCGGGCACCTCCTTCACCAGCCGCTCCACCTCCTCCCGCTTGATCTTCTTCTTCCTCTGCTGGAAGGGCGACTGGCCCGCGATCATCTCGTACAGGAGGCAGCCGAGGGCCCACCAGTCTGGGCTGAATGTGTACCGCTCGTTCTTCACCACCTCCGGAGCTGCGGGGACAGGCCCGGCGGTGAGGGCAGACAGAGCCCTCCGGCTCAGCCAGGTGGGCACCACTAAGTGGTTTGGTGGGGACTGTAGCTACCAGGCTAGCACCTGCCGCCCCACCCCACCCCGAAAGCAGGCGAACCACGCCCAGTGGTCCATCTGATTTTTAAAAATGAAGTCAGAAATCCCCACTTTCAGTGTAAAATGGCCTGGCTCATGAAATGTGGGCAACCAAGTCAAACTTTAAAAAAAAAAAAAGGACATTTTTATTTAAACACAAATCTACATCAAATTGGGCCCATGGGGCTAGCTGGCATTGGCATTGTACAACTTCTGGACTTAGTTATCTGAGCGAAGATAGGGGAGAAAACGCCTGCTGGGGGCCTGCAATGTGCCAGGGAGGCATTCTGGGCCCCTCCACTACTGTCTCTCTTCATCTTTAAGGTGAGCCTGGGAGGCAGGTTGGGTGGAGGAATGTGGTGACATTGGGAGACTTGGGGGGCCTGGCCCAGGGCCATGCCACAAACCACGCGGGCAGGACTTGCTCTGCAGCCTCGTGGGCTGTCAACGGGTCCTCCAGGGGGTAAATGTGTCCCCAAGGACAACACACGGGCACATCTTGGTCCTCCCTCTGAATGGAGGGCCCTGTATCCACCAGTGGGAGGGGCCCTGGCCTTCCGCTCTGTAATACAGGAACCTGTGCACTGGCTCTTACTATTTGTGCCCTGAGCCACAAGAGACCCCCAGATAGCAGTGTGTGGGCTTGGGCTTCAGGCAGAGAGCCGGGGACTCTGGAGGCTGGTGGGCCAGGCAGAGAGAGACTCACCCATGTAGCCCACTGTGCCCACACGGCCTTTGATGGTCTGGCCCTCGGGCACGTGCACGGCCAGCCCCAGGTCTGAGATGCGGATGTGACCTGTGTGTGGAGGAGGGGCGCTTAGAGGGCCAGGCCTCGCATCCTGCTCCAGCCTGCCCACCCCTCTGTGGCAGCCCACCCACCGTGATCATCCAGCAGAATATTCTCAGGCTTCAGATCCCTGTGGAGGAGAAGGGCAGGCTCAGGCAGTGCAGTGTGCACGGCTCAGGTACACAACACACTCACCTCCTGGAGTTGCTGGTGGAGCGAGGCGCGGGACCCCCTGACGGCAGTGGCACTGCATTGCTCGGTGTCCCCACCCCCCAGGGGACCAGACGAGGGAGCTACAGAGCCAGAACTCTAGGCAAATAGAAGGTGCTTCCCTCCACTCAGGAGTGGCGGGCCTCCCCTTTGGGGGCCGGCTGCCTTTCCGTGACTGTCGGATGGGGCGATTTATCCATCCCTCTTGGACCTGCAGTGAGATCATCATGGTAGCAATCGTGCCCGGTGCTGACGTCGGCGGGCCAAGACGATAAGCTACAAGAACTCGAGCTCCCTGGTGTGCAGCCTGGGCGGGGCTGGTCCTGGCCCGGAACTTTACAGCCAACGCTCTCTCGTTCACTACCACATGCGCCACAACCACAAGGGAGGGGAAAGAGTCTCCGCTTCCAAAAAAGGAAATGGTATCACCTGGCCAACGAGGTCACCCGTGGGTCAGTCGGACCACAAGCCCAGGCAATGAACAAGACACTCGTGTCCCCAGAGAGAGAAGTGCCCAGCCCGAGTCCAGCAGGCTGCAGACAGGGTTGTGGACAGGGGGTGGGGTGGGGGGGGCCCTCGGCAGGCCGAGCCCACCACACCTGTAGACAATGCGCTCCCGGTGCAGGTCCTCCAGGCCGCAGCAGATCTCTGCAGTGTAGAAGACGGCCCGTGCCTCGGGGAAGCCCGCCTGGCCCATGTGGTAGATGTGGAACTTGAGGTCACCCCCATTCATCAGCGTCAGCACCAGGCAGAGGGCGTCCTTGGTCTCGTACGCGTAGGCCAGGCTCACCTGCAGCAAGGGGGTCCGGGTCTCAAGCAGGGCTTCCAGGCGAGCCTGGTGGCAGGGCTGGCACGAGCCATCCCAGAGAGCCTTCTCAGTGCCACTCCTGGGGCCCAGATGCCCCCAGGCCGGGCCTTCTCGGGTGCTGGGGGCAGCGGGGCGGGAGTGGACGGGCCTGGCAGGCGGTCTCCTCTCTGTACTTACTACAAACCTACTGTTCACTCTCTCCAGGATCTGCTTCTCGTTGAGCGCCATGGCCTCGCCTTTCCGCTTCTTCACCCTCTTCTTCTCCAGCTTCTTGCAGGCGTACATCTTGCCTGTTGCCCGCACCTGGCAGGCGCACACCTGTGGCCAGAGTGGACGGGGCCCGTGGGGACCTGCTCTGCCACGCCCTTCCTGGGGTCCAGGGTCTTCCCCGACCTCCTGCCCTTATACTCAGCCCGGGGCCCTGGCCTGGGCACTCACCTCCCCAAAGCCACCTTTGCCCAGGACTCGGTACTGCCTGAAGGTGTTTTTGGTCACTGGCTGCCTGTGGGCAAGAAGTCAGGGAGTACACGTGGCTGGAGTTGGGGTCCGGGGTGGGGGTGGAGGCCAGCCCTGGCCCTGCCTCTGGGGGGCTCACCTTTCCAGCCACTTCCACTGCAGGAAGCGGTTGAAGTAGACACTGTCGAGGTAGTCTGCGAACGGGGCCACGCTCAAGTACTCGTGCGTCAGCCTGCCGAGAGAAGGGTCCGTCTGCTCAGCCTGAAGGCACCCAGCTCGGCTCGGCTGACCCCCACGTGCTCGCCCCGCGCTGAGGAGGTTATGGAGAGGAGGCAGCCTTCCCATGGTCATAGGGGCAGGGCCTGGTGGGGCCCCTCCTTGGGCACAGTGCCATGCCGTGGGCAGAGAAGAGCCTTACCGGGTGAGCTCCTGGAAGAGGTCTTTGCAGGGCCCCTGCTCCAGCCGCTGGGCGCAGTTTGTCACCAGCTGCTGGGAGACCTCAGGGATAAGGTCAGGACCCTGTGGACAGGCCACAATCAAGTCCAGAGCATGTTGGGGACAAGGCTCCCTCCATGGCTGCCCGCTCCCAGGGTGGCTGGAGGCAGGGGACAGGAGAGCAGCTGCCCTCCCACCCCAGGGATGTGCTCTGCCTGCGACCGCTGGGCCTCCATCACCACTCTCTCACTCACTCACTCACTCACTCACTCTCTCACTCACTCTCTCTCTCACTCACTCTCTCACTCACTCACTCTCTCACTC